CAGCACACGGTAATTAAAAGGGGCAGGAGGCAATTAATTCAGCACGCACGTTAACTGGGGCCAACCTAGAAGGGCTGGTGAGCTTACGAAGCTGCAGGCAGGTATACAGGGGACTCCCGAGGCACTCGGGCACCAGTGAGCATTGTCAAGAGAACATAATTACATCCTTGCTGGACCCGGTAAGCCCAATCCTGCTGCACCCGAGCTCTAAGGAGGTCATTAGGGCTGTAATCGCACGGCTCCCACGGCAGCCTGTCCCGAACACACCGCTCTCCCCATATGCACTCATCAACGCCCTCTCCCAGCCAAGCTCTCCGGCTACTTTCGCTCCCGGCTTGGAAGCAGAAAACTCTCCACGATCCATGCCTCCGCGTTCGCCCTGTGCAACCTCAATGTCGGCTTCTCCCTGTGCCCCTCCCCACCCATCGGCACACGGAAGGAGCGGCACCCCGCACCCCCGCCCCGTTCTCCTGCCTTCCCCCCGAGAGCCGCCCGCCAGAGAAACCCGGCCCGCGGCGCCCCGCGCAATGGCGCCCCCCTGCGGCCCGGCCCCGTCGCGCCCGCTCACCTGCCGCTCGCGGCACCGACGGCTGCACCCGGCCGGCCCCGCCGCGCCGCCACTACCGCCTCCTCCGGCGGCGGCGGGAGGCGGGGGGAAGGTGGGAGAGGAGACGGGCAGCCCCTCGCCCGCCGTGGGCTGTGAGCGGGACTATGGCGCAGGCGCGGCGCGGCGCAAGGCTTTGTGGGAGCTGTAGTTCGCGGCTCGGTAGGCCCCGCCCCAGCGCTGAGGGCAGCCGTACGTTTTGTTGGGTTCTCTTCATGTTTTTATTTTTATTTTTCCTAATTGTCTGGTATTGATAATGGAGCTTATGCACTAATTTCACTGAAAACTCTATGTATTTCAGTGTCAGGCTCCTGTGGACTGACTGGCTTTTGAGGTTTGTTTTCCTGAGTTTGTCCAGCAACTATTGCACTAGCAGCATCCATTGCAAGACGTCCCATCTGCTGAGCTTCTCATTAGGTTTGTGAGTTGCATCCCAGCCTTAATGAGACTCAGAGTGCTCCTATCTCAGACCAGGAATGGCCACAGACACAGACATAGTTCAGAAATAAAAAGCCCGCCCAAGTATCGATAGTCTGAGATGTTTGTGTGAAATTCATAGGGTTGTGGTGATTTACTGCCATGTCTGTTTCAGGATAATTTGCAATGGAAAACAAGTATAATTCGATAAGCTTTTCATGCAAAATTGTTCATTCATTATTCCTGGAATATTGAGTTTGTAGAGCGACTTGATAGGATGTTTAATTCTATCACCTGTGAGGAAATAAGGGGTGTTCTCCATACTATATGGCTTTACGGGGAGTGCCTATTGAAAGCAGCATGGATGTAGCAGAGCCAGTCACACACGGTGCCCAGACATGGGTGTATGGTGCCATTTTAGGCAGCTTTGTCTGCCTGAGATGTCAGTGCAGAGCTGGTAGATGTGACATGGGACCTATGGGACACCCTCGCTCAGTGTGATGGCAGCCAGAGGCCTGGCTTGAGCTTGAGATCCACCATGGCACTGTGCACGTCCATGGCCCTACTTGCCCAACAGGACTGTCAAGGAACAAATCAACTTTCAGGATACAAGTGGAGGATGGACCCACGATAAGGAGCTAGAACTGCTGAGCCAACTTTTACAGACTGGTAGACAAAGCAATAGCCTCAACATAAGCAAACTTTGAAATGTTTTGGTTTCATGCATCCTCACACTTTGCCTTTGCTTTATAGCTCCCTTTGTGTGTGCAACTTTTAATGAGAAAATAACAGAGCGCTTGATATGAGAAGCTACCTCCTTCCAGCAGAGACACTGCTGTGTGATGTTCCTGCTCATGAACATCAGCAAGCTGGACTGCAGCACTCCCAGCCTTGATCAAATGAAGTCATCCAGATCTATCAGCTTCTCTGTTGTGACTGGGAAGGAAGGCTCTTGCTTTGCCTCAGGCTAGGGGTAGCTAACATTAAGACAGTCCATCAAGAGGAAATCAAAGCAGTTTATAAACGCACCACTCATAAAACCAAGCAGGTGCCTTTGTAGATGCTTAAACCACTAGTTTTGCAACTCCCTGCACTTTTGTTGAAAGCTACAAGTGCTCTCTGCTTTCTTCCTGAGGCATGATCCATTATCTGGACAGGACTGACCTCTGCAGGGAATGGGGCTTGGTGGCTGGATGTGGTGGCACAGCCCTTGGAGGACAGATGCGTCAGCAGCTGGAAAATTTAGATGGACAGTTGCCAGATGTGGGAGAGGAAGAGAAGGCTGCCTTTAGGTTTTTTATGTGCTATTGTGTGTTGATTTTTCAGAGAGAACCTAGCCAGGCTGCAAGGACAACACCATTATGATCTGACAGAGCAGACAGCCCTTGTGTTCAAGCTGCTTGCAGCCCCACATGTCTGAAGGACCGTGCAAAGCAAGTCAGCTACCTGCAGGAGCATGGAGAGGAGCTTAGTGAGTTGTAAATGACACATTTCTCTTTGGCAACGTTCATGTATGTCCAATTGGTGCTACAGAGCACTCTGGTATGTGCTTCTGGGCAGTGTTGCCTCAGCTCTTTGGTCTGTTTGCCTTCTCTACTGCCTCTGCTCTCTGTTAGTTTTTACCATTTCCATTCGTGCTGCACAAATATGCATTTGGTGGCCACTTGAGCTGTTAACATTTATATGCCAGGAAAGAGAGAACCATTCACACATGTTGCTGCCAGAAACTTGCTGGGTTTGAGCCACCTGGATTTTTTAAATATGAATTTTGTAAATGATTAGCTGGGTGGACGTGGATTAAACCAAGGGATGTGGCAGCTTGTGTAGTCACAGCTCAACAGAGCCTATGGGGTAGCCAGTCTGTATATAAAACTCAAACAATTTTGGATTAGCATCAGTGATTCAAGTCTTGCAAAAGGTAATAGGCAACATCCGTGGACTGTGCTGCTGCCTGATCATCCTGCCAAAGAGCTCTGCTTCAGCCAAAAACGTCAGTGAAACCATTTGGGACTAAGGGCTCCACACATTTGCTCGGCGTATTCAAAATGCAGACAGGAGAGAGCAGAACTAAGGATTTTGAAAGTGCTACATGCCTCAAAGCCCTCTTACAGATTCGTGTAATTTGCTAAAGGATTGATGCATATTAATATCATTTTGCTGCAGGTATCTGAATGTGTATGGACGGGATAGACACTTTGTTCCCTCCAAAGAGCCACATTCATTAAAATGTCTCTTATTTCAAAAATCCAAGCAGCCACCCCCCTCTCTGATGAACCTGACAGTCAGTAATAGTTGTAGCATGATGAGTACTTAGCCCCAGTACCAGTTTTTCATATGCTGATACCTAGTACATGCAAGAATGAAGAAATGAAATCAAGAATCTGCCATGGCTGCTGTGCAGCACTGCCCTGAAGTGAGTGGTGTGTGTGCTGGGGAGGGTACTGAGTGCCCCAGAAAGGCAACTGGGATCCCCATGATTTGCTCTGCAAGCCAAGGAAATTGCTGGTGTTGCCAAGGAAGTTTAAGGCTTTGCTTCTTGAATGCCAGTTAAAATGAAGTAAAAAGCGTACATGCGCTGTTAAAGCAAATATGGTGTCTATAGAGAGACTGGAAGAACTTCTAAGAGTGTCATTTTGGACTATCCAGTAGTTCAGTTAGAGGCCAATCTAGAGAGAACAAACCAGAGAGAACAGTCTTGTTTTCTTCCCCAGCAATCAGATCTCAGTGACGAGAACAACATGCGGCTGGAGAGACAGCAGAGCTGAAGGGAGAGCAGCTCTTTTCCGGCTCACCATGGAGTGGCAACAGCACCTAATTAGTTTTGAAGTAGCCTTCTTCTTAGGGGGATAGAGACCTGTTAAGTAAGCAAATACTTCCTTTGTTTACCTAGTCATTTAGGAGGACTTGAGAAATAAGGAATTTTCCCTGTTAACAGAATCATAACCAGATTTGTGTATGAACTGGCAAATAGGTCTTTCTCTTAAATAAAGGAAAAGACTTGTACTGACCTAATACCATGTCTAATCTCCGCGACACAAAGAAGAAATAGGTAGTTACTAGTGACAATGAATAAAAAAGACAGGGAAATGGAGAAATTCAGTGACAGTTGGCATCAATAGATGTGCCAAAAGCTTGTGAAAGCTCCCTTTGTATGATAAAGTGACTGTCACATGAAATATTAGCAACTATCCAGAACTGGGTAAGTGTGAAAATCGTGTTGCTGTATAAATTATCTGAGACACTTATGCCAATTATAGACTCACTGTGAGGAACAGAGACATTGGTAATCATGACAGCGACTGTGTTTGAGTGTCATGTGAATATTCTCAGGCAATTATTCAAATCAATCATTTCTTGTCTGGGTAAGAAGGATTCATCATTCTTAGTACCTCACATTGCTCAGCGACTGAATGGATGATGCTTTGCTATTTCTGGTGCTCTGTAATCTGCCTGCTGTAAATAACAGCACTGGGATATGGCTGACTGCTGAGGTGGAGAACTGTAGTAGGAAATGGGAGGAGGTGGGCTTGAGTCCCATGCAAACATGGTGTCAGAGCTAGGGGGGAAGTATGAGGAAGTGTAATTTAACAGTTCATGTTGTGGTTATCCTTGTCCATTTATCCATTCCTCCTCCCACTTCCTATAAGCTGCTCATACATACAAACTGATTCCTTTCTATACACACAAGGGGATGAATAAGGCTGCAGCTGTGTCCTCACCAAACCTTAGGCACCTGATTTTGCAAACTAAATGAAATACCATTACTGTGGTATGTAAACAGTATTTACATGGCTAAAAGTGCCAAGGTGACAAGTCAGCTGGGCTTCAGTACCATGGGGGTACCCACTGCTTGTCAAAACTAACACCTTTAGCAAGTGGTGAATTTAAGTGTCATTTGTTCTTTAATAAAATAACAAAACAAAGTCTTCACTTTATTTCTGTGTGTGTTTGTAACAAAATCAAAAAGCAGTTAACTCACCAAGCTGTTGATGGCGAATACTGATGCGACGTCCTCTACTTTCAAATATTCCATCTCTTGTTCCCAAGCATTTCTTTCCTTTATCCTCGAGCTCTTTAGGGATAGGATTTCTAACAGTTCTTTCTGCCAACTTGTGGTCAGTAGAATATTTGCCATACATTTTTTTTGTGCCTGTGCTGTGGCTCCTAAGTTTCCATCTGTACTCTCAGGGAAATATTTATTGCTTCAGGCTAGAATGTGTTTCAGGATGCCTAATTTGAACAGGTGGCCGTGTCACTGGGTTTGAAACTAGCTCGTATGCTAGAGTTTAAGCTGCTGACATCTGAAATCCACTGAGCTGAGCAGTCCTTTGGTGACTCTCTTCAACCATCTCCTTCATGTCACCTGTCTGAAGTCAGTGACTGCTGACATTGGTGCTAAGCCAACCCACAGGAGAGAATTTCCTTTTTGTCTTTTAAGAATGTTTCTGTTGCAGGTCTCCTGAATGCCTTTGGCAGAGCTATGGTGCCCTTCATTCATTAATAGTTTGATAGCATGTGTCCTCTTTTTAGGAAGTTATTTTAGGAGTAAGAAAAGCAGTTTTATATCTCATACCTCCATAGAAAAGGTTTGAGATCTGTACATGGATTATCATTCCTGCTTCACCTGATGGCTGAGCTGTGACAGTGCTTTTCACGTGATGTGAACCTTTTCCCAGCATACAATCCATAGCTTAAATTTTGTTACCTTTCTTTAATGATGACGAGGCAAATTCTCTCTCTGCACTTTGTCTCCTCACTGGGGACCAGGCTGTTAGGGAGTGGTGGAGCTGGCTGTCCTGCCTGTCCAGCTGATGCTGACTCAGAAGCGTGCCCATTTTGGGGGCATTTTTATCCATGTATTTGAGGCACAGTGTTCATCTCCTCATGTTAATTTCATGGGAGGGCAGCTTTTAGTCAGCAGCATTCTCCTGACAAAGCCCAGCCCTCCCAGCCTGCGCTTTGCACTGATGGAAAAACCATCTCCAGACGAAGCAGCCGGAGCCCCCAGGGAAGGAGGGCTACCTTCTCCCTTCTCCCTCACTTACAGATGCCACATCCCATCTCATTTATGTTATTAAAATGATTTCCGCGGGGTCACCTTCTGCTTCACGCCTGAAATGATCTATAGAATTAAGCTCTTCCTGTTGTGGCATTTGGATTTCAATTGTGGATTTCAAATCTGCCCTCTCTCCTTGATTCTTTGATTTTCCACAGCCAGCAACTGCATCAGATGATGATAAAAACAACTCACAGACACATTGGCTCGTGCAATACTCCAATGAGTGAGACAGATGACAACAAACACACAGTACTTCAGGCCCCCACTGGGTATCTCTCTGTTTTCTTCACAGAGAACCTAACTAACCTGCAGTGTGGAGTAGAAAAAGGTTGTATCAAAAGAAATCTGCACACTGCACAGCGATGAGCTTAGGCAGTTGCACCCAGTGGTGAAACATCTTTAAAGCTTTTTCCACATGCAAAAATTATGCATCTTGTAAAGGAATGCTCTCATTAAAGTCAGACCTGACAGCTGGTGTGACATCTCATAGGTTTCATCTAAAGCAGTTCTGCACAGGTGAGCTTGGCAGAAAGCATGTGGATTGCTGGATGTGATGATCCTTATGGGTCCCTTCCAACTGGGGATATTCTATGATTCTATGATTCTGTGACTGTGCAAGGTGACGTATTGGACTTTAGAAAGTGCAATTCCAATTGCTGTGCTTTGTGGGCATGAATGCGGCCAGGAATGAGTAATTCTTGGTGTGGGACATATACTATGCAGTAAACATGCAAACTGACACGTGGGAAATGGATTCTTTCCTTTGTGCTTGATTTACACGTGCAAATTCTTTGCAAATGTAGGTTGATCGTTGGCTTTCTTTATTATCAGCCTGAAAGAGGTCACTGCCGTATGGAAAGTTAGCACAGCCAAGAGTTACATTCACCAGCAATATAACATTTTAACTGTTCAAAAGCTCACTGCCTGACAAAACTAACCTTCATAGCATCAGTACTGAGCTTTCTTGTATCTCTTCCCAAGTCAGATAGTGCTGGCTCCTTTCTTGGAAAGCACACCAGGTAAGGAGGCCTGAAGGCTTTTTTTCCGATGCTGCTCCCTCAGTGAGGCTGGTGCTCCCAGCTGCATTCCAGTCTGAGGGATGGCACAGTCCCTTGCCCTTTTCTCCCACGTGATGCAGATCTGACATCACGGCAGGGGCTTTTCTCCTGTACTCCTTCTTGGAGTGAATGATTAAGCTGCTCCATAGAGAAGGCAACACAACAGAAATAATTCTAGCTCTTCAGTAGTGGCTCCTGGCTAAATACACAGCTGTTTACAGACACATGGGGCCATCTGTTCAGTCTGTCTTGCGGAGCATCCTTCTGCCCAGAACAACCCCAGGGTATAGCTGGGGAATGAGATGTTCCAAACAGATTCCAAAAAGATGAAAAGTGTTGGATTAGCATTTTTTGTCCCATGGCTTTAATAGAAATCTTCAGTAAGCAAAGCCAAGGCATTAAAATCTCATTTTGGGTCAAAGATGAATTCCAGCTTTGATTTTAAATTCACTCCTCTTCACAACCAGAGTATGCAAAGAGCCCCCGTTAGTCCCATTTTTAGAATGTCAGTGTCTCTTAGATCCCCCTGCATGTGGATGAGCTGTACCCAGAGCCTGAGCACAAGCCCATGGCAGAGTATTGCTGAAGGTCATGTTTGAAGATGCCTTAATTAGTTACAAAGTCAAAGATCTACAGAAGAAAATCTGTCCAGAGGAGAGACTCTGAGTGCTGATACCTTTTGAAAATTCAAAGGTGAATGGATTTCATCTCTTTTCAAAATCTAAGTGTTTTAAATGGAAAACTGCAATTGTTCTCTTGGGTGTAAACCTTGAGATGTGTTACTATCTTCTAACCTAACTTGCATAGATTGTATTGCTCTTCTTCAATCCTCTGTTATGAGACATAATGATATTTAGCGTAGAAAAGCTGCACACAAAACTCATCTGAGCTATAAACATCCTAACTCTGCTGAAGGGAGATTTATGGACATGTTTATGCCACAGATCATGTTTTCAGATAGCGAGTATATCTAACAAAATGGTTATTGTGCCATTCTCTCAGCTGTGGCTGTCACACTTGGGCTGTTAATTCCTATTAGGTTCACCCAGAGGAGTGGGCTTCATGCTCCAGTAGCCACTCAGTGGGTTCATGGGCACAGGTTTTCTTAGAGGAACGTAATCCCAGACAGCTCTCTGAGAGCAAGCAGCCACAGGCAGTGATGCCCCCTGCTGATATGCCAACAATTCAAGGGAAAAGCCGTATCTCAATTAGGCAAGGCAACGGGGCTGATGAAAGCACCAAAACCCATGCAAGGACTGCAGGCTCTGAGCTCGATGCACAGTGCAATTAAATGCCTGGGTAGCCAGAAAAAAGAAGCTGCTCAGAAACATTCAGGCTTTGGGATATGGCTGGTTATGAAACCTCGTTTTTCAGAGTGAAAAGCCCAGTGGGTGAGTTAAGCTTTTAGCACCCATTTCAGTTGACACAGCAGTGTGGGTTGTCCGCTTTGGGACAAGGGCATCCTGTGCATGGCTTAACAGGGCTTGCTTATGGAGAAATCTAGTAGTGTGTCATGGCTAAAGTGTGATCACCTATGGGAGGACAACGTCTGCTTCGCTAATTTGGGCTCATGTGATGCTAGTGTTGGGGCCAGCCCAGCAGTTAAAATGCTTTCCAGCCAGATGCTGCCAGAACATTCACTGCCTCCAAACCCCTAATTGTAACAGGTTTGCTGACACTCAGAGCAGTCGTGGAAGCTGGGCTTGTTCTGTGTTATGATCCATTATCACCTGCATAGCAGGCATTTCTGGTGCTGCCAAGGAAAATTGTTTTACCTTTCATGCCACATATAGGAATTAAACACCTGTGTTTTGAAAAGGAAAAAAAAGCTCCCATATTTGAGTAGAAGGAGCTGCCGTTTAGTTCCCTCTTCTCACCAGGACCAGCTCTGCCACATCTCCCTGCAGCCTGCCTGCAACACGCTGCACCCACATACATCAGTAGGACTTACTGACTGTCCAGGAGCCACAGCTCTGTAAGGAACACATCATGTTCTGTCCCACATGCATATCTGTGGGAAGAGGGGGAAAGAGCCCCCAGTGCCACAAAAGCAGCATTGCTCCACTGTGTCCTTGGTGCCTGGGACAAGGATGGTGATGGGAAGCCTCTGGGCCAGAGGCAGGACCCAGCTCTGGTCTTACCCGTAGGTCAGTCGTTTGTTCTTATAGACCCAGCCAACAGATCTGCTCACGGACCTGAAAAGTGAGGTTGGGTTCCACTACTGCCATCCTAAAACTTGTCTGTGTCTCAGCATGCCCTTAGGAAAGCATTCAGACAGTGAAATCCAGTTTTCTTACTGTGTGCAATAAGCACCATGTTGTTAAAACCCTTGGCAGTTTCTTATGCTTTTAGCAGTAGGATTTATGTCAGCAAATAGCATGGAAAGTATATTCAAGTGGTTATTGTGCAGCCATCATTTCTATTCTGATCAGACCACATACTTTTGGGTCTGGCACCTCGTATGCAAAGGAAATCAGCTTTTGATGGAATCTAATGCACTGTTAATATGCTCTGCTAGCGTGCAGTGATTAGTATGGAGGGCTTGCTGTGATAGAACTCCAAGTGTTAGAACTCCATCCTGTGTTATAACTCCCTCCTGGTACATAGACACACAATTTTACTTCTAGCACATCTCTGCTGGCTGAATGCAGGTACCTGTAGGAGAGAAGGTGACACAAGTAAAGCTAAGCATAAGTTTTGGACACAGAATGAGGGCCGCAAAATGAGTGCTCCCATTTACAGTTCAATAACATGATGTATATTCCTCCCCACACACGGCACGGTGTGCGTATATTGAAACATCTCAAGTCAGTCTACTTTTCTATCCTTGAAGATGTTAAGACTTTCAGGCATTCTTTCTTTTTACACTGCACAGCTCGGGGTCAGTCACACAGCTGCAGCTGGGAGTTGAGCTCTGGGCAGCACAGGGCAGGGCCGATCCCAGCCCCCAGGTTTGTGCATCTGTAGCCATGGCAACTTTGTGGCTGCATCTCTCCCCAGCTTCTGCAGTCCAGAGTGGGCAAGGAAAGTGCTCATGCCTAGCAAGCTCCCCTGCCTGGTGTGGATGTCACGTACAGGATCTCTTAGGATACATCTTTAATTACTATGTTCTCTTAATTACTCCTTTTGATTTCCCTGGTGAGTTGCCTTTCTGTAGTTTCCGTGACTCACTGTGAAGCCAAGTTAAACCTTTAGTAAGCACTGAGGAATATCTTTCCAAGACCTCTGCACTTTCCCAAGGACATCTGGGTTGAGGGGGTGGCCTTGGCAGGGGCTTCTTAGGGAGGTGGAAGAATGGAGGTCAGGTGTTCATACCTCTCTCCAGCCTCTTCCTGGCCATCACTGGGATGCAGAGAAATCTCATCTGCCTGTGGGACAAAGTGATGGAGAGAAGGTCTCAGATGTGCATCGGGGAGCTGTGGGGTGCCCAGTGTGTGTACATCACTCTCAAAATCCACACAACTGCAGTCTGTGGCCTCACCTGAATAATTAATTAACCTGATCCCATCCCTGTGATGGCACTGTGCTGGGACCATGCCGGGTGTCTTGGTTTGTTCACCACTCACTGCAACGGTCTTTGAGGCCCTGGAGCCTGTCCAGAGATGGGCAATGAAACTGTGAGGGGTCTGGAACACTAACCTGATGGGGAGGGCTGAGAAAGCTGGGATTGTTCAGTCTGGAGAAGAGGAGGCTCAGGGGAGACCTGATTGCTCTCTACAGCTGCCTGAAAGGAGGCTGTGGTGAGGTGGGGATCGGCTTCTTCTCCCAGGTAATGGTGATAGGGCGAGAAGGAATGGCCTCAAATTGCACCAGGGGATGTTCAGGCTGGATAATAGGAAGAATTTCTTCTCAGAAA